TGGGGGATTGAACCGTGGTCCCTGTGCTTTGCTAAGCTTGTTCTAAGTAGGTGCTTTAGACCACTGAGCCATCTCACCAGCCCTGTTCCTCCTCTTTGTCATTTTGTATACCACTGTTTTCTGACCTTTGGTGTAGAGCTTAGATAGAGTTATTACCTTAGCACCAGGTCTGGATCTATGAAGTTCAGATTCCTTCAGGTGGGTTTTGTTTGGATCTGGTTGCTGTGCTCCACTTCTTTCTGCTGCAGCCCTTAGAGTTGAACCCATTGTGCCTCTCTGGCAAGATCTTCTGCTCCTGTATCAGCTGGGTGGGTCTTGTCTCTAGCCCCTTTGCAGGGAGTTCTGCTGAAGGGTTCCTCACTGGGCCTGCACTCTGGGTCGAATGAAGATCCGCGGGGCCTGGGTGGTCTCACTCACATGCCTGGCCGGCACTCTGGGTCTGTTCAAGATCCAGTGGGACCCGGGTCGTCTCACTCACTCACAGGGCCTGCGCTCTGGGTCTATTCAGGATCCTGCGACCCGGGTCGTCTCACTCACTCGCTGGGCCTGCGCTCTGGGTCTATTCAGGATCCTGTGACCTGGGTCGTCTCACTCACTCGCTGGGCCTGCGCTCTGGGTCTATGGATCAGTGTGAGTTTGAGGTCATTCTGGGCTACAAAGTGAGTTGAAGGCCAGCTTGGATTCTATATAGTAAGACCCTGTCTCAAAAAACTAAACAAAAAACCTATTATTCTAATCTAAAGGTTAACTGTAGTAGCCTGCCCACCTGTATCTCTTTTGATTTCAGATTCCTTTCCGCACATGGGGGCCTGCCAATTAGCTCAGCGGTTTAAGTGCCTGCTGAAACAAAGCAGTCAGGCTCAGTATCCTGTGATTCGATCACCAGATCCTCAAGCCACATCAGACCTGCCCTGAAGGCATCCTGAGCCCGCAAAAAAACTCCTTTCCTCGCATTACAAAGACTGAAATGATCTGAGCTGGGCCAAATATATTACAAGTCAAGTCCATGGACTGTTAGGTTGGTAGTGCTGTCTTCTATGAGTAAAACCAAACATCAGGTTTGTTTGGGAGGGGTTTGGGAATCAAACTCAGGACCTTGCACTTGCCAGACAAATGCCGTTCCACTGAGATATATTCCCAGCCCTCATCAGTGTTTTTAACTCATAAAATTGGACTTAAGTGGCATGTAGTATTCCAACATAGATATGCCAGGTCAGTGAAAAAAAAAAAAAAAAACCCTCAAGGAGATTCTGCTTTGAATACAGGTGGTTTCCTCCAAAATTCATATTACAGACACTTACTCTGACTTTAGTGTTTAGAAGTGAGACCTTTTGGAGGTAAGGAGCACTAGGTGGTCATCAAGGTAGAACTTCATGAATGCAGGGTTGAGTAACTTTCTTTTGTGTCCCAGCAAGGGAAAACTTAATATACCTTCTGTCCCAGCTACTTTCTTGTGACAAAATACCTAAAACCTACAAGTGAAAGATGGCAAAATTTATTTCAGCTCACACTTCGTAGAGTTTTCAGTTGATCCCTTCGACTGTCCCTCTGCTATGCAGGGTGCCATAGCAGATAAAAAAAAATAGTTCATGGCATAGCAGCGAGCCTTCCCTTTTTTTTCCACGCAGGCTGCAGACCTATTGAGTAATGCCACCTACATGCACACAATTTCTTCATTAGGTTCATCATCTACTTATAGAACTCTGCTAAACCTACCAGTGGGCTAATCCAGTATCACCCATCCAAAATCCAGTCACTTCCAAAGGCTCCATCTATGACATGAGGCTTTAGGGGACATCTAGAGATAAGCCAGAACATCTTTCAATTCCATTCCCTTAGTATATCAAATTCCTATATGTATTAGTACTAAAAATTCTTGTTAACTCTTTTTTTTTCTTTTATTTTATTTTGAAAAGTAAAAGCAGCCTGACAAGTACAAGGCCCTGAGTTCAATTCCTGGTACCACAAAAAAAAAAAAAAAAAAAAAA